GGGGAATGGCCATGCCACAATCCCCTCTCCTCTCAGGATCTTGGGCATGCATGCATGCACACATGCCCAATGTGAGTTTAAGCCATCAGGTCTGGGACTTGAACCGTGGTCAGCTACGTGGGAGTCCAGCAACATGGCCATTACACTAACTGTGGGCCCCTCCCCTAGAGCAATTTTGAGAGCAGAAGCTTGCCAGATGGAAACATCAGAAAGCTGTGTACCCAAATGCCCTCACTGACAATTTTACAAGACTGCTGTTAGAGGCAATGGAAGTCTAGGTAAGGATTGATACTTTTTGTTTGTTTGTTTGCTCTAGGGCATGTGTGCTAGCTGGGGAGAGAAACAGAGGGAAAGTGAGAAATTACCCTCCCAGGTGGAATGGTCACACCACTGTTTCATCTCCTCCTTTCTTCTCTTGGGATTTTGGGCATGCACACACATGCACTCGGCCTGTTTTTCAAGCCACTGTGTCCAGGACTCAAACCACCCAGTCAGCCATATGGGATCTGGCAACATTAATCTTCACATCATCTGGTTCCCAGGTTTGATACTTTTAAAAGCAGTAGTTTTAAACTTTTTTAATGAAAGAAATAAAAAGGATTAAATCTAAAGGCCTGATTTGATTTACAAAACACTTCACTTACTGTCTCTAGTAAAACTGCCAAAGAGAGGAGGGCAGAGGGAGGAATGAGAAAGAAACTAACCCCTTGACATGGATTTTAAAACACTGGGAAAGTACAAGCAAAATAATCAAGGAATTTAAATGAAAATTTAGATGTTTTATGAATATTTTGTGAAGTTCTATCTTTTCGTTTTTGTGAGGAAACTATGGAAAAGCATATCTGAAATTTTAGCATTTTTATGAGGATACAATTATTTGTTAGTGAAGGTTAAAGGGAAACTGAAAGAATTCCAGATTGTCCTGTCAGGATTTTAGAATAACGCAATGATGAATACATTTTAAACTCCACATAAGCAAGGTAATTCTCGGTCAGAAGCTGATATTTTTCAATAACTATGTTTATGTACTGTGACAGCTTATAAATTAAAAACCTAGCAACTCTTAGGAGACACACTCAGCCCTCACTAGGGATAATATAATAGAGGTGACTGCTATATCAAAGAGGAGTTTGGACTCAACGCTATATTGACAATGGGAGAGGAAGTAATTTTGAAAATAATATTTATTTATTTATTTGTTAGGGAGATTTTTGCTATGGGTGCGTATGTGCTCACAAGAAACAGAAAGAGACAGAAAGTCAGAAATTATCCCCCAAGGGGGATGGCCACACAGCACCCCTTCTCCTCTATTCTCCTCCTGGAATCTTGTGCATGTATCCACAAGTGCCTGGCATGAGTTTTAAACCACCTGGTCCAGGACTGGAACCATGGTTGAGTATGTGGGAATTCAGGGACATCACCATTACGCCCTCTACTGGTTCCTGAAAATAGTATTTAAATGATTACTTAGTGCATTTATATGTCACATAATTAAAAGTTGTTATGGACTACTCATTTGTTTCCTTCCAAAATACATAGGTTGGAATTCAAATTCTTAATGTTTGAGGAGTGTATGAGGTGTGTATTAGGTGGGGCCTCTTGGAGTGATTTGGTCCTGAAGATTATGCCCTCCTGAATTAGATTATTGCTCTCATAAAAGAGACAGAGGTCCGGCTTCTGTGCCGCAGGAGATAATGTACCAGATTCAGAACTAAAAGCCACTGCGGACTGTGGTGCAAGTCCTTAGTGCAGTTGGCCTAAAAACACACCAGGCACAAGTGCACATGCCCAGATCCTGGCACACCAGAGCACTGAGAAGAGAGATTGCCACGTGACTGAGACCTGTGGAGGTTGCTTCTCATTTTCTTTCTTTCTGCATACTCTATCAAAATTAAAATTAATTTTTAAAGAGAATGTAGAGAGCTCTCTCACCCTCTTCTGCATTGTGAGGACATAGCATGGCTGTCTATGAACCAGGAAGAGAGCCCTTACAAGACTCTGAATCTGCTGGTGCCTTGATCTTGGACTCCTCTCTAGAATCAAGTTGCCAGAGGTCACTTGCCAGAGGGAAACAGAAAGAGGGAGAGAAAGTGAGACAGCATCTCTCAAAGGGAAATGGTCATGCTGCAATCCCTGTTCCTTCATATCTTCCTCCTGTCAGGATTTGAGGCATACATACGTACACACCCAGTGTGTTTTTTCAAGCTGCCAGGTATGGGCTTGAACTGTGTAGTCAGCCTTAACTACTATGCAACCTGTTGGCCTAAGAAATAAATATTTGCTATTATGTCACCCAGTCTATGGCTTTGTTGTTATAGCAGTTCACATGGACTAAAACAAAAGCAAAAACAAAACAAAACAAAGCAAGCTACTATGAAATTTGTGAGTTAAGTAAGGGCTGGTAAGAGTGCAGGTGGTAAATAATATCGATGCTAGTTTCAAATATGGGACGAAGAAATGGGTTATTATCTATTGATGATAACGTGTATAGTATCCCCAACTGGACTGGTGAGAAATTAATTCATGTTGGAACATTCACTTTACAAGCTAATTGACATATGTGATTGAATGTATAAAATAAATTAAAATTAAATTAAATAAAAATAAAGCTATTACTTTTCAAAATTCTTTGTATAATTAATTAATGTAGAATATCATATAAAAGAACCAAGACAGAATATATAATTTGAGCTGATTAGGATAGTCCATGGGGAAAAAAAATCTAAGAAAAGGCAAACTGAATTAAATGGTTTAAAAGTTAAAATGAAAGAAGTCTAAAATATCTTAGGAAACGTGCTACCTTAAGGAATTTCTAAGAGGCCTCAAAATCATTCTGAAGCTCAAAATTAAAAATGGAGATATTTCCGTGTTAGTTCATATGATCTTGGACAAGTTACTAAAGTTCTTCAAGTCTCTATGTTCTCCTCAGCATTGAAGGGTGAAAAAAAAAATGGTTTCTTCCATGTCTGCCAGCTACCAACTCTTTCTTTTGTCTCGGATTATGTTTAACACTAACATAAATAAGGTGAAGAAATTTCCTCATCCATCTTCGTAACTATTAAATAATATTATTAATATTGCCCTAATACTGTCTTCCACTCTTCTTCTGATTCCATAGATTGCTTTGCTTACCCCCGGCATATGGGAACCCCTGCCACGTCCACAGTGGAAGGGCCCTGAACACCGGCTCACCAGTTAGGCATATTTTTCCCACTTAAAATTGTTTTGTAATGTGTAGAGGGAATAATATGGGCATAGAGTAATCAGATAGCCTGGGTCTGAAATTTAACCTTTACTTCCTAGTTGTTGCAATAGTAACTGGTGTTTCCTTATGTGAAAAAAAACAGGAAGAACGCCCACCTATTGACAGAATGAGTATTATTCAGCCCTCAGATCAATATATTTCCAGGTTCTTGTTCCTTCTCTTCTTATTTATAATCCGCTAGGGCCTAACTAGAAAAGAAAACAGATTTGATTATTTTTAGTCTTAGACTAAAGAAATCACTGCTGGCTTCCAATAAAATCGTTAAACAAAATAGAATGAAGCAAGTCTCGCAAATAATGAAAATCAGCCAGCTTCCTAGTTGTTGCAATAGTAACTGGTGTTTCCTTATGTGAAAAAAACAGGAAGAACGCCCACCTATTGACAGAATGAGTATTATTCAGCCCTCAGATCAATATATTTCCAGGTTCTTGTTCCTTCTCTTCTTATTTATAATCCGCTAGGGCCTAACTAGAAAAGAAAACAGATTTGATTATTTTTAGTCTTAGACTAAAGAAATCACTGCTGGCTTCCAATAAAATCGTTAAACAAAATAGAATGAAGCAAGTCTCGCAAATAATGAAAATCAGCCAGTCTGACAGGGTTTGCAGACCAAGGGAGATTTTAGGCATTAGGTATTGAGTGAACATACACCACCAGGACTCTGCAAACGTTAGAACTGGTCATTTCTTCAACGTTTTCAGAATGGCATGGGAAAATTAACCCTCATTTCAAACAATTCAGCTTTTAATTCTCAATAGAAAGGCAGCCCGGATCTATTTTCAGAGCTGAGAGCCCTTCTAGATGCCCCAGAGGGCTGGTCAGAACGCATTTCACCCACTGGGAGGCTCTTCCCCAGAGTCTCCAGTTCCTCCTGGGTGTCAGGGCCATAGGCATCCCTCTGCTCCTTTTTTCTTTTTCTTTTTTTCTCCCTTTCTTCTTCTGATATCCCATCCCCACCCCATCGGCTCCTTCTCTTATGTCTTCTTAGCTTTATCGGCCTCCCTTAATGAAGGTTCTGCATTTCTCAGAGTCGGAGCGTTGGCGGGCTCCCTGGTGCTCTGGACAGAGAGAAGCCCCCACCAGCTGGCGTTTGCTAATGTGAGGAGGCGCGGGTCTGCGGGAGGGGCGCTCAGTCTCCTGCGGCTAGAGAAGCCCCCCCCA